TTTGTGTCTCAAACGCGTCAAGTCTCGATTGGTGCCATGTCATACTGCATTGGTTCTTCGCGACTTTTTTGCCAAAAACTCGACTCGTATCGTTCCGCAACCACCGTATTCGCCTGATTTGGCTCCGTGCGACTTCTGGTTATTCAGCAAACTCAAAAAGCCGATGCGGGGACGCCGTTTTGACACGATTGAGGAGATAAAAACCGAATCGAAGAAGGTCTTGAAGGCTATACCGGAAAAAGACTATTCCGACTGTTTCGAGGACTGGAAAAAGCGTCGGAAACAGTGCGTTTTATCGGACGGGGATTACTTTGAAGGGGATGAAATTGATTTGGAAGAATAAATAAAGAATTTACATTTTATAAACAAATTCACCTTACTTTTTGATCACAGTAGTATACAGTTTACATCACCGTCGCTGCCCGCTGACGGAGCCGGCGAAATGTAAACCGATATCTTAACTGAAGATATCTTACTAAGTAAACTATAGATTAATTTTTGTTCGAGGCTAAAATTTCAACATCAACAAAATGATACATCGCGCTACCTTGTTATCGCGGAATGTATTTTTGCCCAGCCCAATAAGGCATACGCTTGTTTGCTATTCCGCGAAAGGCATGGTTCTTTCGAGCGCCGCGGAATTGTCATCGCTTAAGTAGCTGGCCGACATTGTAACGGTGGCGTCAAGCAACAGGGAAAGAAACGATTGAACCCGATACTACCGGTAGGCAGCGAGGCACAAAGCGCGCGTCGAGAACTAGTAACGCAAGGCCTTTCCGTTTCGTTTCAGTCCATTGTAGTCGCGTCTGACGGCGCGTCGGAGCGACTGGTTTTAATCGGCGCGCAACGCGTATCGGCGAGCCGAGCGCACACGCGACTGTTTGTAGACAATCCAGTTGGCATACACTACTGCACAGGGCACACGTTACTAGTTTTCGCTGGCGACATATCTAGCCCTGCTCCACAGCACGAAACAGTAAATTCTCCCTAATAATCCCGCAGCTTGGAATCAAAGATGGACTTAGGCAACTGATCACGATTTTTCGAGTCTTTATAGTTGTTAACATCTTGTGTGTGTGTGAGAGAGAGAGAGAGAGAGAGAGAGAGAGAGGGGGGAAGGAAGAGAGAGAGAAGGGAAAAAGAGAGAAGTGAGAGAGAGAGAAAGAGAGAGAGAGAGGGAGAAAGAGAAAGAGAGAGAGAGAGGTAGAAAGCGAAAGAGAGAGCGGGAGAGAGAGAGAGGGGATGAGAGAGAGGAGAGAGCGAAAGAGAGAGCGGGAGAGAGACAGAGAGAGAGAGGGTGAGAGAGAGGAGAGAGCGAAATAAAGAGTGGGAGAGAGAGAAAGAGAGCCCAGAGAGACAGAGAGAGCGAAAGAGAGAGTGGGAGAGAGAGAGAGAGAGAGGGTAAGAGAGAGGAGAGAGCGAAAGAAAGAGTGGGAGAGAGAGAAAGAGAGCCCAGAGAGACAGAGAGAGCGAGAGAGAGAGAAAGAGAGCCCAGAGAGACAGAGAGAGCGAGAGAGAGAGAAAGAGAGCCCAGAGAGACAGAGAGAGCGGAAGAGATCTCTAAAAAAAAAAAGATACTAAAATTCAAATATCTTCTAAACCACTAATTTTTCGCAATAAATGCCTTACTATTTTTATGAAAAGAATGGCGAGCTGAATAGACCGATATTATAAAAATTATATGATCC